TCTGCACCACGACACACAAGCAGGAGAACACAGTCATGGCAGTCAGAGAATTTCTACGGCCAGATTATCTCTTACATCTGACCACCTAACTTTTTTTCTGAAATTCCTTTGATTCTCCTTTGACAGTTACTGAATGTCCGCTGAATTAAGCCATAAATTATATTTCAATGGATCAAAGTAGTGTGAACGTTAAATCAGAAACTACGTTTTACTCACCCTGTATATATCACCTACAGAAGAATCGGTTACGCTATCGGTCCTAACCTGGCATCTCGGCTTTAATCTCTCCCACCGCCGTAACGTAGCTTCTCTTTGCCTCTTCTATATAAATATTTTCGCGGTAATTGTTCCGATGAGATTTCCTTCATGGTACCTAGACCATATTAATTTAAGCGCACACAGAAATAGAAAGGTGTGTGCAACAAGGATGGGTCTTCTCACCGGACTTGTTCAAACTATACCGCGAGACAATTCTCAAAAAATTAGATGTGCTGTCGGGATTTTTTGTTGGAAGCCACAATCTTAACAACATAAGAAATGCAGATGACACAGTGTTGATAGCAGGCACGGAAAGAGAACTAAAAAGTTTTATACAGCAGGTAGAAAAGGAGAAGCGATAAGAAAGGATTAAACATAGACTACAAAGAAACAAAATGCTTGGTTGTTAGCAAAATGGTGACCCCAAAATCTAAATTACGAATCGGGTATACCAAAAATTACAGAATTTAAATATCTGGTAAGTGTTCTAACAGAGGAAAGACAGCGTGACACTGAAGTCCAAAGGGGCATTAAGATAGTCAAAGATGCACCCCAAAAGCTAAGCAGAATTTTAAGAGATATACAAAGAAAAGAGTATTGAACTGCTATGGCAGGGAAGGCTGGACGGTCTCCCCACAGATGAAGAAGAGACTCGTAGCAACAGAGATGTGGTTATACAGAAGGATGCTGACAAGCATGGACCGAATATATGAGCAACATCGAAGTTTCTAGGAACAGTCGAAACAAAAAGGACACGTATATAACATCAGGAAAAGACAGTTGGAATTTCTGGGACACGTAATGAGGAAGGAAGGCATGGAAAATCTGATACTCAAAGGACAGATTGGGTGAAAGAGGTACAGAGAAAAACAGCGCATAACATACTTGATTAACTTGACCGTCAGAACAGGGTTTAGGAGAAAATAGCAAAAAGACAAATTTATTACGAACTACAAAGGGAAGAAAGCTGTGAAGGATCGTCAGTGCCCAAGTCGTCAGTGGACATTGCACATAAAGAAAAAGAAGACCAGATTAGCGGCAAGTTCTTTGCATTTCTCAGTTGAAATGGCAAAATGTAACCGTATATGCAAACAGTTTCTTCGATCGCACTTCTTGCCTGTGGAAATCTCATTAAGTTTCTTGCTTTCCAGTCAAATTTGATCTTCAAAGATTTAAGTGCAATGACGATCGTTATCTTCTGACTTCTTAATTCTCGTTCTTTTATTGTTCTCTCTCCTTAACAGAGATTTTTTATTTCTTTTCAACTTCTCTAACACAGAGTAACACCTTGTATCTTATTGGCTTTATTACATTGTTTGGGGTGAAATGATTAAATAAAACTGCATATGTATATATCAGTGTATGTGTGTGTGTAATTTATTGTCTGTGATTTTCATGCCATTTAGTTTTTGTCGCACAGGTAAAAAATGAAACAAAAGAAAAGAAACAGCAACTTAGCAATTAGAAATTAGCGTTCACACGAAGCTACAGAATTCATTAAATAAATTGTTGCTCAGACGTGATAAATGCATTTATTTCTTCAGGTGGATGGAATGTCGAACTGAAACCATTATTTCGCTCACTGGGGTAGACTTTCTAGTTCCACGTGCCATGTTTAATTGACGTTAGTTATCAGTTATCTTCTGTTAATTTTCCCTCTGAAACTTCTTCACTGCCTTAGGCGGGTATTGAACTCACACTCTAAACATGGCACGTGGAACTAGAACAGTCTATCCCAGTGAGCGAAATAAAGAGTTTGGTTCGATATTCCAACCACCTGAAGAAGGCCGGAACGTACAACGGCCGAAACGTTGTAAGAAATATGGCGACAAAGATGAGGACACTATTACGAATAATGTAAATAATGTACATAATACCTCATCTCAGAAATATAGACAGATATGCATTTATTTGTTTGTGTCCAGGTAAGTATATCTTCCTTTTTAAGAAAAATACCGGGTGTAACATCAAAATTGTCCAAATCGTGTAACAGCAAAATTGTTATATTGTTAGATTAAGCTTTCACCCTTTGTATCTTTGAAATGATTGAAGATGTCTTATTAGAATTCTCCGAGGTTTTTATAACACTATTGGACTCTACTTTGAGCGCTAAGAATGCATAATTATTCTCCAAGTCTAACAGAAGAATGGTGATGGAATCGATCATAAACGAAAATAACATGTTCATCATCAATTAATCTTAACCAAGGATCGGAAGCTCATGAAGTATTGATATAAATTTCAAATATATATATATATTATTCTAGGATCCATTTCCAACTTATTCAAGATGATCTTCGCACTCTCTAAACTTCTAACTTTCTGTCCTGGAGTAAGGTGACTCAGAGGTTTCACGAACCATTACATTCTCAGTTTTTTTTTGTATTTTTTTTCACTACTCTTTGGACTGTCATAGCTGAAACGTCTCACACATGTGCCAAACGTTATATTGATTGAGTTGGATCTTTTCTAATTGATCTCTTTAGCTATAAGTTGAAATGATGATCCCTCTTCTTGTTGTGACCTCTCTCGATCCAGTCTTCCTCTCTATTATTCACGTTTTAAAAACTTATTGACAGTTCTCTGGATGGATTTGAAGATGGAAGTAAGAGTATGAATGTTGGTACCATTACAAGAGTTTCGACAATGTTGCTGTTACACCCGGTATATCCGTAAATGGTAGCAAGGCACAAAAAAAACTTCTTCATAGTGACTACTTGTTCTTAGATTAACCCTAATTATAGGCATCACATGAAAAACGAAAACAACAAAAAAAAACCTTGGCCCATTCCTCTTTTTAATTCGACATATTGTTATTACTTCAAGAGCTATTTTTAGTGGATACCGTATTTGTGTAGAATGCCCCACTCTTTACTCTACCGTCCTGCGCATTCGAGAAAACATAGTTTCCATTATAAAATAATAACAGCTTTAAAAACGGGACGTTCTCCTCAAATACGGTATCCACTAAAAATAACGTTTGAAATAATAATAATATTATTATTATTATTATTTAATAATATTATTAGTATTATTTACATTATTCGGACTATTGTCCTCATCTTTGTCGCCAAAAAAACGCTTCGGTGGTTGGAATACCGAACTGAACCTAACTGGGGTAGACTGTTCTAGTTCCATGTTTGAAGGATGTCAGTAACCAGTTATCTCCTGTTAATTTCGTTCGGAAAGTCCTCCACTGCCTTAACCGGGTATTGAACTCACACTCTTTGGGCTCTGTCATTTATCCACTGCGCCATGAGTCCTTGATGACATCTGGGAATGAATTTCTGGGTATTATAAACCTAATGTCTTCAGCAACCATTTGTAATAAATATGGCGACAAAGTTGAGAACAATAGTCCGAATAATGTAAATAATGTACATAATACCTCATCTCAGAAATATAGACAGAATAATATATATATATATATATATATATATATATATTGAAGATATCCCCTGATGAGTGGATGGAGTGATTGCCGGGGTGGGGTCGCTTACGAAACTGTAGAGTCAGGAGACTGAAAGTAGCAACAATCAGCTAAGTGACAAAATTTATATACGTATTAAATATATATATATATATATATATATATATATATATATATATATATATATATGTGTGTGTGTGTGTGTGTGTGTGTGTGTGTGTGTGTGTGTGTGTGTGTGTGTGTTATTTGGGTCATGCCCCATTTGAATTAAACAGTATTAATTGCATTTACAGGCCTGGATATATGAACATTTAATTAAATTTAATTAAAACAGAGCATTTACTCAAATAAGATGCATCCATAAAAATAACGTATAAACAAAAAATATATTAAAATATTTGTTGATTTAATCCATTTAATCTAATATATATATATATATATATATATATATATATATATATATATATATATATATATTTTTCCAGCTAGATTAAAGTAAGACATGCTTATTTAAGCTGTGTTGAATTGCTTAGAGCGTCACAGCATTTTGAAGACACAAGGGTCGATATTCCACTTGACAAGACACAGAAGAACCGCCTGACTCGATTCGTAACACGGAAAGACCACATAACACGAACCCATATATAAGCATATGTATGAGGAACAGAAATGGTGTGAGAGAGAGAGAGAGAAAGAGAGAGAATATGAAATTATTGTGTAACGTTAAAATGTTATGTAGATACTTGGAAGAACAGAAATCTGATTCTACAGAAGGATTCTGGGAATAGGTGACGAACATGTGAGCAACGTCGAGGTTCTATAGACAAGGTCAACAAAAAAGACACATACATAACATCAGGAAAAGACTGTTGGAATTTCTGGGTCGCATCGGAAGGAAGGAGGGATTGGAAAATTTGATTGTCGCAGGAGTGATTGAAGGTAAGAGTGACAGAGGAAAGCAAAGTATAACCTTCCTGGCGAACTTGAGTCAATGGATGGCGGTCCAAGGTTTCGGAGATATGGCAAATAGACAATACAAAGGACAGGAAATTGCGGAGAGCCATTATCGCTAACGTCCTGAATGAACACGGCACATAGAAGATGTTTATCTATTTCTTTTGTGATCAAATCTAAATCTGACAATCTTTTCTTTTCTTTCTTTCTTTCTTTATTTGGTTATTTCTTTTATGATTAAATCTATTCCCGTAATTTTCTTTTCTTTTTCTTTCTTTCTTTCTTTCTTTCTTTCTTTCTTTCTTTCTTTCTTTCTTTCTTTATTTATTTATTTATTTATTTGATTAAATTTATTTTTATGATTAAATCTATTCCCGTAATTTTCTTTTCGCTTTCTTTATTTCTTTCTTTCTTTCTTTTATTTATTTTTTATTTATTTATTTATTTGGTTATTTCTTTTATGATTAAATCTATTCCCGTAATTTTCTTTTCTTTTCGCTTTCTTTCTTTCTTTCTTTCTTTCTTTCTTTCTTTATTTATTTATTTGGTTATTTTTTTTATGATTAAATCTATTCCCGTAATTTTCTTTTCTTTTCGCTTTCTTCCTTTCTTTCTTTCTTTCTTTCTTTCTTTCTTTCTTTCTTTCTTTCTTTCTTTCTTCCTTCCTTTCTTTCTTTCTTTCTTTCTTTCTTTCTTTATTTATTTATTTATTTATTTATTTATTTATTTGGTTATTTCTTTTATGATTAAATCTATTCCCGTAATTTTCTTTTCTTTTCGCTTTCTTCCTTTCTTTCTTTCTTTCTTTCTTTCTTTCTTTCTTTCTTTCTTTCTTTCTTTCTTTGTTTCTTTCTTTGTTTCTTTCTTTCTTTTATGA